AATAATTAATTACTTTATTTTGTAATACACTAGCGTTTAATCACAATTGCTCTTTTATCGACTCTTTATCCCTTTATATTCTGCATCCAACTAGCAGATAATCAAGCGTAATCAATGGCATTGTACAATTTTTTATTTCTGATCGAATCTTTTCTGTACTTGAAATGATTCCATAAAAATCTCATAATATCTGATTGTTTAATGACTCTGCCGAGTATCTGCTACAATTTTTACACGTTATGTTTTTCTTCGCTTTTATGATCTCTTTTTTTTCTCTTATCCTAGTGTAGTATTCATTCAAGTAAATGAGTACGACAGAGGATAAAGAGATTGATAGATATACTGCAAAAGCTACAGATGAAAAATAAAATAATATTTAGCCTATCAGATGAATACATTGAATATAAATACTTTTAAAAAAATTTTATTATAGTTTTTTGAATAAATAATTCTTTTTTTTCCATTATTATTATTAGTGTGTTTAATTAAATAATCCTTCCAAGTTAATTTAGTAGATAAAATAAATATTTTTTTATGGAAGTTAACGTTGTTTATACAAATGGAATAGAGGAGTGGTTGATGATAAGATTTTATCAAAAGATGAGTAATTTAAAAACCTACTAAATCAAGAAAATTTTTATTCCACCTGCTTATAAATATTCATGGTTTTATATCTTATAAAAAATAATCCCTTAAAAATAATGAATACTGAAGGAATAATTTTTTTTTCACCTGTTTCTTTTCAATTCAAGTCATTCATCTGCCCTATATAAATAATTAATTAATTTTTAATTCATTATTATTATCATCATTAGAGATTTTTTTTTTATTTTCAATAATTTACGTGATCAGTTATTACACTACACGTTCTTTTGTTATTGATATTATCCCGTTTTCCCTCTTTTTTCTTCTAGTTCTGTTTCATATTACGTGCTTCAGATTCCTCCTACGCGTGTTCTCAACGTATCTCTCGATACTGGACGATATTAACACGTTCCAGAGAAACGGCAATTCTGGCTGCTACGTGCACAGACGATATATTTCACTCTCGAGAACTGTGGATAAAACGGAGACGTGTTGTATATATGTATGTATCAACACATTACCGACGTGAAACAGGGTCATATAAAGAATCGCCCGAACAATATATTCGTCTGAGAACAAAATGAAACGAACTCTCGTTATATATATAAATGTGTGTGATTAGGATTACAATACATATAGACACGATAAATAAAATTAATGAATCGAGAATCTAATGTTCTACAACTCTATATATCACATAATCATAAATATAGTATCAATAGGAAGGAAAAAATACGTAAAAATTAAAAATGGTTTTCTATTAAAAATAAATCTATAAAAATAAAAGAGACTTTGAAATAAAAAATTTAATATATCAATTCATAATTCAAATTATTTATTTATTTATTTTAATTAAATTTACAAGAAATATACTAATGACTTAGAGTAAATGTGGTAAATTCAATATTCATGTTAATAATTTGACAACAAAATTATTTATCAATCATATTTTATTATATTGATATTTAAATTGAAAAGTTAATGATAGTTTGATATTTTTCGTATAAATAGCAATTGAATTTCATTCAACAAAAATAATCATATATGAATTGGTTTTATTATTGATAAAATTTATAAAATAAAAATATATTATACTTATATTAATTTGCTATTAATATGTATTTGGTATAATAACACAATTGAGAGATAATTTATGTTTTTTATTAACATAAATAATTTTCTTAAAATATAAACATTGTTTTTGTTTGTCTAACATTTGGTTAACTGATTCATGATATATATTATGATTATAATGATGACCTACTGTATTTATCAATAAACAATGAACAACTAGTGAAAGTAATTATACTAATTTATTTCCAAAGGTTTTTGTGTTTAATATATGTCCGTTCACATAATACGACAAAAATAACAGATAAAAGAACGAAGAAGTGAGATTGTGGAAACGGGTTTTTATGACAATGTAGGTATGTACAGGAGTTTGTAATAATACTGAACACCTGACAATTTTCCATTTACAGGTGGCAACGGTTTGTTTTAATGACGTATTTTTAATTTTAAGTTAGATTGCTATTATTAAATAAAATGTAATTTTTCTTCTCAAATTTATGCTGGAATTATAAATATTTTTAATTAAATATTATAAAGAATTTTGTTTATATTCTGAATAAAAATTTATTCATATTTTTTTAGCAAAACAGTTATACATGAAAATGTCTATTTTGTTTGTATCTTTTTTTTTATATTGTGTTACATGAATTACCAAAGTGGAAACACGTTTGATAATAATTTATCTGGAGGGTAATTGAATGAAAAATAATTTTTAAAGTTATTGTAAGAGAGTTTTTTTTTTCATTAAAAAAACAAAATTGCATTTGAGCAGAGGAAAAAAATGTTACTTTATCACAAACTGTCGTCTTTCAATGTAATTTAATTTATAATGACAATTAACAAATGAAAGTCCTTTATAATAAAAAAATTAAATTAAATTAATTAAAACATAATTTTTAATATGAAAGCTGTCACAATTAATCCAATTTCTACAAAATATTTGTATTATTTATTAATAATTAGTTTACAATAAGTTGAAAACTTATAATTGATTAGATATTGGTTCATAGTAAAGTTATTATTAATTGTTATCTTGACTATTGGTGGAAAATTTGGGGCAGTTCTAAAACTAGCTCAGAATTCCTCTAGAATTATTATAAATCTGCTCTGAAATTTTCATTGAGGAATTTCATATAGGACGTAACGATAAATTAATTAACAATTTATTACCAAAAAATTAAATATACCAGATCTGTATTAGTTTTTATATTAAATTTTTTAGTAGATTATAAAAACATTCTGAAGGCTAAAATAACAAAGATCTCAATTAGATCTCTAAAATATCAATTTAATTAAATAAACAAAAAATACAAAACTTTTCATGCAAGTTGATAATTAAATATTAACTTGCATTGAAATTGGAAATTCAAGATTAGATGGAATTACCGTTGAGATTATAAATCTTAATTTATTGATATATAAATAATAAAATTTTCATCTAAAAGATGAAATAATAAAAATGGTTATTCATTTCTAAATATACTAGTTGATATACTCATTGATGTACCATTTTGAAATAATTATGAGTGATATGTTCATAGATAGAAAAAAGTTAATTAAGCAAATTCTGAAACTTTCCAGCGAAACGATCAATTACTGATTAAATATTAATATTTAGTACAAGTTACAGTTTGAATTTAATCACGAACTTATAAACTCAAATGATGGTATGTAATACACCCTGATTGGACGTTCATATAATTCTGAATTACGATTTTAAAGTTGCTTTTTTAAATACATTTTGTTGAACAGTTGAACAATTTTAAATGTGTTTGGAGAATTATATTTTACCGTTAAAGTTTGGAATTTTCTAGCAATATTTTCATTGTTATATAAAATAAAAAGTAGGAATTTTTTTCTCTATTCAATAAAAATTAATAATAATCAATAAAACAATGATGCTGCATTTTTCGTATAAAAGTTGAATAAAATGGGGTGAATCATGTCTAAAATATCTATTATGTTGTAAAATCTCTCTCTAAGATTTATCTTCAGTCATCTTAATCTCATAGAAAATAGTATCATGTCAACGATAATAACTGCTAAAGAAAAATTTCAACGATTCCACACCGTCAAATTCATAATTTAATATAAAAAGCCAACTTGAAAAAACGAGTGGGGGACGAGTATGGAAGCATACAGTACAGTGATATGTTGCGAAGCATTATCAATAATTTGAGAAAATTACCGTTAATTGAGCGAAAGCGAGCAGTTAGAGGCATTAAGTAATTGCGAAGAAGCTAAGGGATAAATAAAGTCCTAGTATTTGTAAAAGTACTTAAGCTGAAAATAGAATTGAATAGTGGAAGTAGCTAAGTGAGGTTAGGGAATGAAAGGCGAAGGGAAGAGGGGCCCGGGGCGTCCGGCAAAAGAAAAAGTCGCCGAGACGGAAAAAAGAGAAGAGGGCACCATCATACAATTCTTGGCATGGGAGAAAGGCGCTAGAGCCAAGGTGGTGCACTCACCAGTAAACAAAGAGGGCAGATATGAGTTGCGGAGTCTAGCCGAGAAAAGTGGCGCTGTGGAAGATGCCTTAGAGCATAGCAAGCCAGAAAGTAATATGGAAGATACCGAAAAGACACTGGACACCGGTTGGGTCGACGAGGAGGATAAAGGGGATTTTAGGCAAAAATCACATGCAGAGATGGATGAAGTGGGAAGAAGTATATTGGAGAACTCCATTAATTTAAGCGGAGTGATTGACGACAGAAATATGGATGTCAGAGAGAAGGAATCCTCCCACCACGAGATTATAGTGGTCAGAAGCTCTCAAGGAAAGTCTATAGAAGCGAAGGAGCACTATGAAGAGCTCAAAATCAAAACAGTTGCTTTAGAAGAGCTAGTGAAGAGTCTCATGAGGGAGAGAGACAAAGATAGGCAAGCCTGGGAGACAGAAAAAAACCAGATGATTAAGAGAATTGTGGAGCTGGAAAGAAAAGTAGAAAGTGACAAAGATGACATCAATAAGAGGCGGTTTGAGAGGCAACCTTCGCTTCAAATTGAGAATCAACTACCCCAAGAATTCTCAAGGGAAGAAAGGGAGGAAGTAGAGCCCATCGATGACAACAACAATGAAAAGGCAGTGAATGCAAATCCGAGGTTTCGTACTTCATCACCAAGTGTGAACAGGCAGAGGGTTAGCAAAAATCTGCAAGTCGACGAGCTAGCCATAGACAGACTAGTGAGAAGGGCAAAGAACAATATTGGGAATAAGCCGGTTGCAATAGCAGAAGAGCATTTAAAATATGAAGTTAAAGAACGTAGGCGAAGAAGGAAAAACATCATTATTAGAGCTGCTACACCAGAAACCCAACATGGATCATGTTGAGACAAGAGGAATGATCTTAAGAAAGCTCGGCCTGGCTAATCACAATTTGAGAATCAAGTACTGTGACAAAAGGATGTTAAAGCTAGAATGTGAAAACTTAGGTCAAAAACTAGCGATGCTGAGAAGGAAAGGCGAGCTGAAAGAAGTAGGAATCTGGGTGGACGACGACCACACAGCACGTGAGATTGAGATTCAAAAGTGGTTGAGATGGTTCGCAGGACAAGAAAGAAGCCAAAACAGAGAAGTAAAAGTGGGCTACTTAAAAATAGCAATGCAGGATCAAGTATGGGTGTTTAACGAGTTGGTGGGAGATCTTGAACTGCAGCCCTTTCGTGGCTTCAGGAAATAGAGATGCAAGAGGCGGAAAGGGGTGTAAGGTGGTGACGTGGAATGTTCACGGTGCTAGAGGAATGTGTGCGGACAGGAGAGCGGTAAACTTTTTATGTAAATTCGACATAATAATGATACAGGAGACTTGGATGAAGGCAGACCAGGCAATCAAATTGTTTAATAAGACATTTGTTGAGCATAAGTGTTGGGCAAAGGGAGCGATAAAGCACGGTAATAGTAACAGAGGGCGGTTGTCTGGGGGTCAAGTGCTGATGATAAGAAGAAGCCAGTTTCGTGAAGCACAGGTGAGTGAGTGGGAATATGGTCTCGTAATAAAAGCCAAAAAAGGCCTTGCAATCATATCAGTGTACTTGAATGAAGGTGTCGCTAAAGCAGAGCAAAAACTTAAAGAGGTGATCGAGGATTGTGCAAGTGGCTACGAATTAGTATTCATTTGTGGTGACTTAAATGCAAGAGTGGGGCAGGAGCAAGGCGATGCCTTCGCAGACGAAGAAAGCTTACGAGCAAGGCCCAGAAGATCCTCAGACAAAGTGCTGAACAGTGAAGGGAAAAGAGTACTAAAGATATGTGAGGAGCTAGGTCTAATATTATTGAACGGACGTGTAGATGGGGATATGGACGGAAATGTGACATACACTGGTGGCTATGAAATGTTTGAGGGGTCGGTATTGGACCTAATATTTATGGTAGACAGGAATAATAGTCATGTAGTTAAAAAACTGGAAGTCATAAAGAGAATCGAGTCTGACCATATGCCTGTCACCTTTGTATTTGATGTTGGTGGGGAGAACGAAGGGGATGAAGAGCTGGGAACTATGATAAGCACGGGAAATAAAGTGAGCCGGATTTATTGGAAGACAGAAGCTAGTGATAAATTTCAAGAGGTATTCGTGAGCAAAATGCAGAACATAAGCAAAGACTGGGATTGGAGTGCAATAAAAGAAATATTTTGGAGCACCGCTGACGAAGTTGGGCTAACCAGAATAAATCAATCAGCTGGTGATACGAACAGAGGTCCAAAGGTAAAATCTCTGATTTATACTGAAGATTGCAAGAAGTTAAGGAGTGAAGTGTGGAAGTTGCTCAACGAATGGTTAAAAGACAGAATTGCAGTGAAGAAAAAATGTTATATAGAGTGCAGAAAAAAGTTACACAAGATGATCAGTGAAGGCAAAAGAAAATGGTTGGAAGACAAATGGAGAGAGCTGAGCAGGGCAAGAGGTATGACTGAATGGTGGGGAGCACTTAATAAGTTTAGAGGGAAAACGAAATCAGTAGTAGTTGGGGATATAAGTGAACAGCAATGGGTGCAGTACTTCTGTGGCCTGCTTAATTACAACAGGGGAGGATCAACAGAGGTACGGGAGGTGTCACCATGGAGTGTAGAAGCAGGTGAGAGTCTCAACTCGGTGGATGAAGGCTTGGATGATGATATAGCAGGCTGGGAAGTGGCGGAGGCCTTGAAAAAGATGGCAAGCGGGAAGGCGTCTGGGGAAGACGGCATCCCGATAGAATGTTTGAAGCAGATGAATAAGCATTTCGCTGAACTGTTGAAAGAATGCTTAAACAGAATATGGAATGAGGGTATATTGCCTCCAGGATGGGAGAAAGCACATATCGTCCCAATCTTTAAGGAAGGTGACGAAAATAAACCGGAGAATTACAGGGGCATTTCACTCCTGGACTCGGGATACAAACTGCTGACATGTATAATGGCAGAAAGATTGAACTGTTGGCTGGACAAAGAGAGATTACTGAGAGAGAGTCAGGCAGGCTTCCGTAAGAAAAGGGGAACCAGAGACCACATTTTTGTACTCAACGCACTAATAAACAACAGACTGAAGGTAAAAAGAGGGAAATTGTACGTGGCCTTCATCGATTTCAGAGCAGCATTCGATACCGTGGATCGACAAATTATGCTGAAAAAAGTATGGAGCATTGGTGTAAGAGGAAAATTTCATAAGCTCATAAGGGAGATCTACAGAACAACAAAAGCAGAAGTCAAAGTGAATGGTGTTGTTTCAGCGGAATTTCTATGCAGAGTTGGCGTTAGGCAGGGCTGTGCACTCAGCTCAGCTCTGTTTGACATATTTATTGATGATATAGATGAAATATGGGAGAGAAATAAAGAAGGTGGTACTGTGATGGGCAAAGCAAAAGTAAGAGCACTGAAATATGCAGATGATATAGCAATAGTGGCTGAAAGTGGTGAGGAGCTGACCAAGATGTTGAAATCGTTGGAGAAGTATGTTGACAAGAATAGGCTAGAGGTTAACGTCAGGAAAACAAAGATCATGGTGTTTAAAAATGGAGGTAGAAGTAAAGACAACGAGAAATGGTACTTTAAGGAGAATACTATCGAGGTGGTGAAGGAATTTAAATATTTAGGCTACTGGTTTACGGCGGCAAATAAAGCGACAGTACATATGGAGAGAATGGCGAGTAAAGCTCAAAAAGCTACAAACGCAACATGGGGGCTGTTCAAGAGAGCTGGCAGAGACCTAAAAGGTGAAAGGATATATCTGATGGAAACAATTGTCAGAGCCATGGCGGTGTATGGGGTAGAGATATGGGGACTTGGTAAGATTGAGAGACTTCAAAAGGTGCAAAGCAGATATTGCAAGGCGATTCTCGGCGTTGCTAGGAATACGCCCAAGTATATTTGGAGAAATGAGATAGGAGTTAAAGAGATAGAATTCATACTCAAAGAACGTGCCTGTAGATATTTATGGGAAGTATTAGAAATGGACGATGACCGCTGGCCGAAGATATGTTTACTCGAAGAGGTAAGAGGTATATTAAACAACAAAGAATCAGCATGGGGAAAAGCATTTGCGGAGTTTTGCTATGAAATAGAGGATACTGAGATAATTCAAGACATAAGAAATGGAGTTGCTGCGGGTGCGATAGCAGCGCGATTTGCCTGCGGTCTTGACAAACTGGAAAGAAGGTACAAAAATAAAGAGTGGGATCTAATCCTGAGGTCCACATATAACCCCATATATGCAATTTTGAAGCCTGGTGACAATGGTGCAGTGTATTGGAACCAAAGAATAAAAAACTCTAGGTATAAAGAAATCTGGGCCAGGATCAGGTGTGGTAATGTGGGAAGAGGTGGTAAAAAAGGCTGGAGGGACTGGTCATGTAGGTTGTGTGGTTGGTGCAGTGAGACATTATGCCATTTGTTGTGCTGTAGTGAAGCCATTAGGCCACAATCAGAAAAAATAAAAAAATTTTTAATTAAATGGAAGGGAGATCAAGGCGAATTGGAGATTCAAAGTCTTATTGTAGAATTGCTCAAGGGAAACATCTGTTTTGAGCTGTGCGAGTTTGTGGAAAAAGTAGAGTGTGAGTTGTATGGAAGGCGGTGACTTAGGTTTGGAGGGAAGGGGAGCATGTAGAGAAATAAGAGTGATTTTAGATTATGGATGTAAAACTGCAACCCCCTTGCGTGCAGCATAATGTACAGTGCAAAAAAAAAATTATTTTTATAATTTAAACTTAAGTTCATTTAGATATAAGTTGGTCTGTATTGAGTGTATATAGTCGAAATGTAAAAACCCAGTTGGGTATACAAGAGTAAAATATATATATATAAAAAGCCAACTTAATTTTTGTTTGTATTAAAATTTAGTGGTAGTTGGGTAGATATTTCAGATCTATCCGTCTGAAAATCCTGTCATCAACAACTCCACTCGTCTCGTTGAACGATTCTACGAGTAAGAGAAAAGAAAAAAAAAATATAAAAGAGGAAGCGAACTATGAGAGATCTGGGGTCGAGGCATAAACTCAACTGTCACAACGAGGAAAATACGGAAGGAAGTTATTTCGATCTATCATTGCAGACTATCTTTTTTTTCACTCTCGTTTCAATTTCAGAGACGTGAAAAATTTGATTTTTTTTTTTCTAATAAAAAATCACCGGTTGAAGTACATTCCATATTTAAGGATGAAAGAAATAAAATAAACAAAAAATTAGGGATGATTTAAATTTTGATTACATCGTACCACTCATAGAGGTTATCGTGGAGAGCATAAGTTGGACGAATAAATTCAAAAGTGCATATAAAAAATTTGATGGAAAAAAAGATAAATCGTGTTGGTACTTAAACGTTATGTGAAAAAATGCACCACATTGATGAATAGGTTTTCCAATTGCATCGAAATATTTTCCATAGATCTATTGATTTTTTTCACATACCTTCTATACCTATGAGTTGTTACATAACTTGAAAACCGATTTTTTGTTATGAAGATGTATTTTAAAGCTCTGACAAGCCTTTACCCTTCTCTCTTGTTCTCTCTTGTTTCAACATAACTTGCACCTTTTAAATCCCTCTCTTTATGTCATATTTTCCACTATATTTTTCTCCAATACTTACTGCGATTACTCAGCTATATATCTATCAAGAAAGCTACACCTGCTATCATTCAAATGGGATTTTCGTGTTTACACAAAACGTTCAATTTATCATTGTATATGATTCCTAGTGATAACATAAAAAAAATTTTTTTTATTACATCTATGCGGATATATTTAAGTATATTGATTAAAAGTTAGATATAAATGGGGGCTTATATTAAATTAATTTAATTGAAGTAATAATTTTAAAATGATGGAAAGTTTCAAGACAATTTTATTCAATCGACAAAGGCACGAAACAAAGTTTCCTCTTCATTGTTACAAAGACCAAAGGATTGATTATTTCATGAAATTCAATTCAAAAATTTTGAATAATGGATTGAATAATTTTTATAAATAATACATTCTTACCTCAGGTATTGTTCTTAATATTTAACCTTTATTCATTCATTTAACTATTATACTTATTTTCTTTTTATTAAATGAAACTTTTACATTTATTATTAAAAATAGCAAAAATACTTGTAATTGTTTGATGGTTTTTCTTCAATTTACCGATGTAGATGAAATTTATTGAGAGAAATTTGAAATTTAATCATTTATTCTAAAATAGAGCAATTATTATTTAATGTTATTGTTAATGTTCTTTATACATGAAAACATATCGTCAGGCATGATTTAAATCAATCTACAAGATAAACTGATAATGAATATTAAAAAATTAGGTATTTAAATTATGAAAAGGTTCTTTCATTAAAAAGAGCTTTTATTGTTAAATTTAATCATACTAACAAGACACTTAGCATAATTATTTTTAATCAAAATGATAGATTATTATCATTAACTATGTAGATAAATATATATTATGTTAAAACCATGGAAAACAGAGAGCAGTATTTATACGGTTTTAATTCTAGCATATTAAAAAGATTTTCAATGATTTTAAAGATGAATTAATGATTAATTGTATAATGGGAAAAGTAATTAATTTTTAAATTATTATTTGTTTAATAATAAATAAAAGTCTGGCTTTTTCTGCAACTATTTTTAGTGCATTCAAAAAAATTCACTCTATGTTCTTCATCTAAAAAATAAATCCACTAGTTAACAAATGAATATTTATTTCTCTTTTAAATTTACATGTAATTATTCCACATAACCAATTTTTCAGTCTACATATTAATGATACCTTTTGTTTACATTGATAATTGTTTCTGCACTGATGAAAAAATCATTATATTAATATTTTTATTAAAAATAATTTTCAATACGATATAAAAGTATAATTGATAAAAAAAAGTTGCATTGACGCCATTATATAATATAACTGAGTTTCTATTTAATTCGCAATTTGTGGTATCTACAATTTTTTGTGGTATCCTACTTTGTCCATTACTTTTATTGTTGTCAGCATAGTAACAGTGAACAGCAAGTAAAATTAAGTAAATTTATCTATGTATATATCTATATATGTATCAACATATATAGATGATAAGAAACGAGAAACATCTGTCAAAGCACTTGCAGGATTCTTTTATTATCTCTTTTTTTTCTGATTGTCATAGCCATCTCTTTTTCTTTTGCGCAACTGTAACAGCACGTGTTCCACTCACTGAACTACATAAATCATGAGAACGTGACAATGGTTTCGTTTTACCTTGTTCAGGGTTGGATGAAAAAGGACCATGGTATTTGAACAAAATTTCTTCGCCACTTAAATTTTTTCATAAAAAAAAGAAAAAATCATACGCAAGAGTCATATTTAATGAAACATGCTTTTGTTATACGTACATTATGTATATAGATACACGAATATATGTTAGCCTAGATTAAAAGTGCGTGATACCGTGAGAAATGTTTTTACTGTTTGTGGATTATATTTTGTTGTGGTAAAAGAGAAATAATCAAAGAGAAATTAAATTCGTACACGAGAGAAGAAATACTGTTTTAAAACAACCTTCTACCCTCTACTCTTTTCAGTACCTTTTGCTCTTTTTCTCTTCAACTCTTGCCCCACCCCATCCCATACCCTTTTTTCATCTCCCCCTCTTTCTTCTCCTTCACTGATTCTGCTTCTTCTTCTTCTTCTTTTACCCGGTGGAATCTTGCTCAAACTTTAATTAATCTAACTTGGTGGGTAACATCACATCTAAGGGAATCATTGACGAAATGGCGGCGTTCCTCGAATCCCACTAGAACGACAGACATTCCTATTTCCCCTAACCCTCATCAAGTCAATGCGTAAATTGCTTTTGCCAAACTTACGACACAGTAACGTGGATGGTAATCTTTAATGGTGACTTTTATTTACTTCAATTTATTTAAATGACTTTGTGTCAACTTTTTATAGATCTTTTTCACGTTATTTTAACAACTAATCATTTATTTTCTTTTATTGATAACCAAAGTGTCTAGTGACTGTCGTAATGATAAAATTTAATAGGTCTAAAAACATCGATACATCAAATTTGTGATTATTAAAAAATGTTAAAATTGTATTTTTAATATTAATGTTAAATCATATATAATTTATTTATATAAATAAATGTAATTTTAAGTGTATAATTTAATCTTTTAAAAACTACTTCATCTGGAAAAAGCACCAATTACCTTGGGAGTTATTTAATTATCTTTAAAATGGCTCCAGTGACTAGAAAAATACGAAACACTGATTTTCTTCGGTTTAATTTTTAACGTAAAATTATAATCAAATATTATGATTTAAGTTAAAATTATTTTTTACATTATCTACGATGATTTAATTAATTTTGCATATTATAGAAAACTTAAAGTTGAGAATAAGTTATTCCAATGAATCAGCGGATAATCTTATCTGCTGTTTGTCAATTCTATATAAAGCGGATGAGGGTTATTAAAGGCACTCGATCTAATTAACATGGAATTGAACTAAAGAAACTCATTCTTTATATAATGCGTCTCGTCGTATTGTAATTTACAATATATTCCATTTTATTTATTTATTATCATATGAAAATTTGCTTTTCTTTCTTATTAAACATTCATTAATTAAAAATATACACAATATCTTATTAATGTTGTTCATTTTTCTCTATTAAATTCTTTATAAAAATTTATTTTTGCTTGAAAAGCTTGAAATGAAAAAAAAATTAAAAGATACCGAATTTTCAAAGTTAAATTTGACGTAGTACGATTTAAATCTAAATCTCTTTGTAAAAAGACTAAAGGATCAAGCTCCTTAATCATACAAATAATAGAATCTCTATTCTTTTTTATCTAAAATCTAAAAAGCAATTTTCGATAGTAACTTTTATTTGTGTTTTAATTTATTCAATGAGTTTTTTATGGTTGTATTATTTGGATGTTTCAGAAACAAATCATTCCAGAAACAAGCAAAAATTGGAGAAATAGCCAATCACGAAGAATGAGGGTGAGTTTTGTGATTTATTTAGTGTTACATTATTCACAATGTGTCAACCAAATATTCCCGTATCGCGTAAAATCTGTCTGTTGGGTTGGCGTTTGAATATGTTTTACATTCCTCTGTCTTATTTATCGAACTCAAGAGAGCTGTAGAAATCACCAGGGATAAGATATAGAAAAGCTCAAATTACAATAAATATAAGATGTCAGGAGAAACTTTACAAAGGTATAGTAGTGTAATAGTAGTAGTAGCAAGGGTAATCGAAATAATAGCGTCTCGACATTATCGTGTCATGAGTGGATTGATGGAGGGGTTAAACCTCCTCTTATCGCCTTATTTTCGGAGATCCCTGACGTGAAGAGATAGGCAAGCAGTTTTCATTTCCTTACTTTGCACGCACCTCTTTCCGACGATCCCTCATTCCATTTGGTTCTTTATCGTTATATCCATCATCATACTGTTCAGGTTACCCTTTTTAGCTGTTATTTTAAATGAATACTAGACGAGTATTGACCTTAAATTTCGTTTCAAAATATTTATCGTAGTTTATTAACTCTACAAAGGGACCTCATCATTGCCAATCATTGGAAATGAAATGAATTAAATATAAATGATCTATCATCTAAAATATTATTTGAAAAAATAATTAACAATTGTAGATAAAAAAAAAAAATTGTTAATGATTAAAAATATATTTTTTGATGGAGTTGAGTTTATTTTAATGCAATTTTTTTTTCATTCCCCATAAACAATCCTCTATATTCTAATATTATTAATATCAACAAGTAATATAGAACAAATCCTTTACATTTTGTGAAATGTTATATTTTTTATTCTAAAATTATATTTTTTTATATATTGTAAAATATACATATGTGTCCATCTATAGATGGATTGACAAACGACAGAATTTGTTGATAGCAACGTATGACTGGTTTGTTAATGTGTGATTGTGACTGAGCTCAGACTAGACTAGCACAGATTAGACATCATTTTTAACCCAAGTAAAAATAAATAGGCCCAAAATACGCGAAAAATGAAAAATAAGCTCAATGTAGACCCGATTGAAGCCCAATCTTGACTTGAAAAAATTTTCAGTGCCCAACACGAGCCCATGTCAGGCCTAAAATATTTTCTGTAAACCTGAAAAATGATTTGGGCTTGAATCGGGCCTCCTTTGAGCGGGCCCAAAAACTGATCATGTTTACTCGAGAAGATTCTGTATTTAAATCTGTCATTTCAATTGACTTTCCTTTTCAATATTTGTTGTTTCCATTCTATATTTTACAATATTATAAAAAAAAAATAGTAAAATTTTATTATACACTTTGAAAATAATTTATTTTTTTCATGAAGAATGTTAAAATGTCAAAGATTTATTAATAAATTTTATATTGTACTAATATTACTTCAGATTTGCTAAAATTAAATTAATCATTTATTTCACTTTTAATGTTTTACCCTAATATTATATGTATTTTCTAAAATCTAATAACATTTTTTAAAAATCCACTAACCGATCAAAGTTTTAGATAGTTAAAAACAAATTTACGTATACATATACATCTTCACATGGAGCATTGACTAAAATATTAAAAAATCCTAAAACTTTTTCAAACTTTAATAACCTTCTGAAAGTTCAACAACTCACGAAAATCATTTGAAAATAGTAGAATCAAGAAAATATCTAACCATTTTTACCAATCATATGTAAATTCTTAAAAACTGATATTTCTTTTATCACAACGATTCTTTAAAGTATCTAAAATAAGCTTCTCTCTGACTTTCAAATCATTTTTAAAAGTCCAACGACCACTAAGAACTCCAGATCCTTATAAAAGAAATTTACGTACTATACTACGTATAGATCTTAACACATTTACATGAACTGTTAACATAAAACCCTCTTTTGTCAGAGCAGTTGGGTTAAAATCATGACATTATCATTTTATCCAATTGATTGAAAGCCGCACCCTCTATGTGTGTATGTACATTATCGTAGTAGTTTTTATACTGACCCTAACCCGCACCTGCTTAGCTAGAGTTTGTAAAACATCACGATTCTTCAAGCACGCACCTTGGACATATTATATATTTCCTCCCAACAACCCTCTGCTGTCAATGAACGCTGCACGCAATCGTTTATTATAATGAAAAAAGCCGAGAAAAAATGAGAAATGAAAGAAATTTATATTTTTGGAGTAAATAAATAATACTATGTAAGAGAATTATTTATTAAATACTACAAAACATTTATTTATGTATTATTGTTTGATTGAAAAGTGTAGATGTTTTAAATAAGCTATAAAAGGCATGAATTAATTTGTAGATGTTTTATAACATTAGCGTGATTTCTTTGTATCACGCTATTCTATTCTCTACAGATAATGTGATACTCTGTTTCTTTCCGTTTTCATCTCATTGGCTAACGTACACCCCGACAACCCGATTGCGCGCCCGGGCTGCTTCCTTTTATGTGAGAAACGAGAGACTGAGATGCCTTTGATGTGTTATTCTGGCTCGTTCCATTGAAATAAAATCTACATTCTGTTTCAATCTTTACCTAATGTCTTTTTTTTCCTCTATCTCTATTTCCCTGCTACGTTTATTTAGAAATTTTACTGCATAGTTATTTCTTTATACATGCACTTACACTCGGCATTTACACATTGCATTTCGTTTAATTAATTAGAACTGAGGATAAATAGGCATCAACCTCTGTATCACGGTTACCAAGCGACTAAGAATTAAATGCTTGGGTTTTAACGATACAAGATTCAATTTTGCAACGCTACATGGATAAATGGGTACACATGTACCGTAGGGGTAGAAAGTTGTAGGTTTAAGTCGTTAAGCTTTTAATATTTTTCTTGTCATTATTTTTTTTATTTATTTATTGAACTTTTACTTCTTATAGACATTAAAGGATTTAAACTGAAAAGCCCTTTTGTTCAATTTTATGAACGTGTAACACTAAATATTTGAAAATAATATTTAGTTTTAGAAATAGCTAAACAATTCATATAATAAAATTTATGTAGGATATTAAAATAAATTTTATTCAGTCTGTCATGTGGTTATTTTAAAAAGATTATTCTAAATAATTCAGTGAGAAAAAAAATTTTATTACCACGAAAATTGAAGTTTATTTGATTGTCTAGCCAAAAAAACAAAGTCTTGAGAGTGAAAAAAAAATTTTTTCAAGTGGACAACAAATAAATAACACTTACTCGACAAATTGCACATAAAAGGAAAGTGCAAAATAAATAAACAGAAGAAAGTAGAAAAATAAAAACTTTAAATGTAAATTATTCGAGGAGAAGATTCTGTTACACTAGAGTCTCAACGAATAATATCAAAAATCCTATCCTTTATAGAGATTCTTGGATGTATGAATATTTTTAACACAAACTGTACACACATACGTGGCGATGTACAATGAAACGATGATGGGGAAAAGAAGGATAAGGCAAAGGGAAATAGAGATAGGTGAAAAAGCTCCAAACTACACCACAGTACTCCTCAGCATTCACTGGAATGGATAATGATGCCACCAAAAGAAACACCAAGAGATTCACAACCCCATCCAGACTGAGGAGAAGAACATTCCTCCACTTTTCGTCTCCCTTTTTGCACCCTTTTGCAAACATTTCTGAGGCTATTCCTCGACAAATGTGAAAGAGAAGACCGCGACTTTTGTCTCTGTTTAGTGTTTTTCTACTCTTCTTCACTTTTCTATTGTATCTCAGGCTCCTCGTCAGTATTTTCTCAATCTTTTATTTTATCATGTATATCTTTGTGCTTTATATATATATATACGTCGAGTTATAAAAGAGAATATTCCCTAAAGGAATGAATCTCTTTTCTTTAAGAGGAAAGAAGGCGCTTGAGAGTATGAAATAAAATATCCAACAATCTTCAGAGGAATATTAGGATTATTATGTATAAATATTTCACTTAAATTCACGGAATTCTGACCTACTTTTTGTCGTTAACCACAAATGGTTGTATCCTAAATACTGTATCTTCCTAGAGATTTCATCAAAATTCGCACGAATGCACGCAAACGTGGATAATTGTAGATACGTGGGGGGTTGGAATGTGTGAGTAAATTCCGGGAATTTACCAGAGAACCAGGCCAAAGCCGGCGTTGCCACTTTTAGCTTGCATGCATATTCCGGAACAAATTTCGAAAGTTATTAGACTGCGTTCTCTATGTGCACTACCAACGTCTCAACATATGAAACAGCCATACAACAATCTTACTACAAAAGATACACAAGCTTTAATAAAGCTTAGTTCAAATAAGACTTAACCCTTTTAAGTGCAATAAATACTAGACATTGGATATCCTCATTATTTTCATCATTATTTATGTGAAATTTTAGCAATTATTATTATTATCTACAAATTTTTTCCATTTTTTAACATTCCATTTTATTTAAAATATTTTTTAAATTTATTATTACCCTAAGATTAACTATGATTTTTATTATTTTTCATATTATAAAGGAGATTTAGAATAGCAAATAAACAAACTAAACTATATGCATATGTTAATTATTAATTTAACTACAGCAAGAACAACTATGGTGGTTATAGGTATGAACTTCATTTCATAGAATAGTTAATTATATTATTTACACTAATAATAGAATTCCCGATTCATAGCATCTATTTATCATTAACAAATGGAATAATCGAATATAGTGAAATAGATTTATTATTTACAACTGCGGAATAATATGGTTGAATAAATACTAACTGTTGTTAAATATAACTCTACGTTAATAGAGTTGTTATGAAGGTTACCTCTCACTGCATATCCTACATTATAATCTATTTTTTATTATCGATAATTTGAGTAATAAGAATTTGTTTAGAATAGAAAACAATTTCTTCTCAGAGTCGAGTTCAGATAATATATCCAGTATAAGTAATGAGAAAATTTTCTTCTTATTTCAAAAGATATACATCATGAAAATGATTATTGTTCTAATGATTTA